AAGAACAGATACAGCGGTAGAGGTTACAGGGGTGCCATCCCCGTTTCACAGGCGGACGCGCCGCGTTCAACTACCGAAGTTAAGATGCACCTAGGTCGGGACGCGCTACCTGAAAGGCCCGCTGAGGCATGGTTGTATAAAAACAATATTAATTGTGCCGCAAAACCCTGCAAACTAAAAATTTTAAAATCATAACGCGCCCATCTTTTTGTACTAAACTCCAATAAATTTCATACAAAAAGAGTATTTTTCGTTTGTTTTTACGCAAAAACAGGCTTTCAAAAAGCTTAAGGTGACCACCGTGACCACAGTACAGACAAATGATAAAGAGTGGCGCTGTTGTCGCATTTAGCTCGGTCTCGGTGGACGCCAGCGGCCCAGGTTTCGACGGCGAGTTTCCCAACTGAGTGTTCTAGTAACGTTGGTCCGCGCACACCGCGCAGCAAGGCATGCAAGCGCCAGCCGGTTTTCTTGCCGTGGCAACATAAGCACGTAATCGGGGCTGAACAAATCTAGATTCAATTCCTGCCAGGAGTCGAGGAGAGAACCTTCTGGTACGCAGCCGGACGTGGCCCGCAAGTATACAGCGGCTGCGAGGCCCCGTTCCCGTGCCTCGAGCGCTAGAAGTTATATAATTTATATTTTCACATCGTCGAATAATTCCTGTTAGAAAAGCAGGTCTATACATATAACGTGTTTGCACATTTTGCACTATTCCGTTGTTTTCTTTAACTAGATCTTGAATCTTCTAAATATCTGCTTCTCCCTTTCCCCTAAATCAACCGGAATTGCAATATCACTACTTGGGTTCAAGCGCAAGCTCATTGCTCAAAGGGGCAACTCGGCCACACGAACTTTCGCCCAGCAGAAGCAACTGCTTAAGATAAAGTACAAACTCGCCCTATTAAAGAAAAAAATGTATGTGTCGCCCAGTAGGATTATATGAAATGACCCGGATATCCTGAAATGTATAATGGGCGCTCCAGGCTCCCCTAATGGCTCTGTGGGGCCCATTAAGATAGTTTTCTGAGAGGTGTGCGTTCCCTCGGGATCGTGCTAAAAGCATGCGTGGTATGCAGGGACGTTCTAACTGGTCTGTGTGACCTTTCAAGGTCGCTCTTAAGAGACTGTGAAACCCACTAGACTTTATCGGGAGGCCCTCGCAGAAACCATCAGAAGACAGGGATGCGTAAGCACAGTGTTCATCAGTAGTCCGCATCGGTTACGCGAGTGTGGAAACCTGTCGCGTCGCTGTTTTTATTGGTCCGTCATGTAGACGCAGTAGCTGAAGCGAATATTGCTTTGATCGAGACTCATTGAGTGAAAATGGTGCCCACATGTTGCCGCCCCATTCGGAGACAGATAGAAGTCTATCGAGCTAGCTTTATTGAGTGATCTCGCCTCGAGAACTCGGCGGCGCTAGTTGGCCTCCCATACCAACACGTCTTTTTTTTTTTTTTTTTTCGTAAGATTGACTATGAACACTCTACACGGTGATTCCACGAGAGATCGGACCTGCAGGTCCACTCAACATTTTTATTTTCTCTGTTTTTTTTTGTTGTTTTTTTCTATGTGATGTACACACAAATGAATCGTACGAAATTGAACTTTTTTTTTCGAAAACGCGGTTTCAATACGAGAAAAACAAATGTTTCAAGAATGCGCGACGGCCCCGCTCCCACCACGGACTGCATTAGTTGCCACCTTTGCGGTCCTGTGGAAGGCACGCAAAGGGTGGTAGGTCCAAAAGGTTTCCTGTTTCATGTAGTACACCTAAGTTTAAGTCAACTGCATGCAAATATCATGTTCTTTATGGATAAAAAAAATAAATAAAAAATTCCTAATTTTAGACCAGGCGCAACAAATACACTAACATTCAGGCCTTCTACCTCAATATGTGTGGCATTAGCGACTTTGAAAACTATACATAGTATAGGCCAGGGCATCTAAATTATACCTGCAATATATTAACTTCCAATAAAAATAGAAACATAAAAAACAAATTTAAAAAAAAAACATATTTTCAAAATAATGCTTATATTAGAAAAAAAAAAAAAAAAAAAAACGGCCTCGATTTTATTAAAAACCTGGGGTACAACTCTCCTTAGCCTAGACAAAAAGAATGTACAAAAACATGTTGCATCATTCGCTTAATACAAAAGTTCTGAGCAGTCAAAGTGGCGGTTGCGAGGTGTCTTGACTCAGGCGTTTTTCGCTTCACCCCGGTAATTTTTTTTTTTCTTTTGAAAAAATTTTTTTTTGCCGCAAATAAAAAAACAATTATGTGTTGTAGCTTGCTGTAATAAAAAACATATTTCCAGTCTTTTATTTTTTTTTTCTTGTGGTTGTTTACGTGCATTCGTGAAAGTTTACGATCCTTAATCGCGCTTGGACTTCGCATGTCTCGTTTATTAAAACTGCAGGGAATAAAAGAACGACGCCTCGGGTACAATGCTACAGGGAGCTTATGTTATGGCGAAGCCAAGGAGGAGGGTCATTTACGTTTGCCACGCGGTATACGTGATTCGCGGTCGCTGTCGCAGTCAGGAGCTAGTAAGGCATTTGAGCTCACGTTTGCCGCGGGGCAAAGGTACACACCCTCCTTGGCTCAGCCGTAAAATAAGCGCCCCGTACCTTTGTACCCGAGGCGTCGTGCCTCTATTCTCTACAGTTCTAATAAACGAATAAACGAAACTCGGGTATACTTCAGCCTAACTCCGGCACGAACAGTTGTTCATGCGCTTCTTTCCTTACGTCTACAAACGTAACAACGACCTAAATATGACGGCTCGTCAACGCCTCCCCTTCAAGAATATTTGGAGAATCCACAACTCTGGGCGCATCAAGGTGGATTACTGCGACAGTTTAGCTAGACTCTTTTTGAATGCGCGGTGGCAGAGTTGGTGTCGGCGCGTCAGTGATGTCACCTGGACGTTTGTGTGTTTGTGCGTGTATGCCCCATGGGAAGGGCACAGGTGCAGAGCTTCACTACGCGTGAACTTTGACTCTGCCTAGTTCGTGGCCACTGGCGTTAGTTGTCAGCGGGGGATCTCCTCGGTCGCAACAGCGTTGTAAAACCTTTGGGCTTCAGTTGGTTTGGCGGCGCAGACGAAGCAACGGGAGAGGCGACAGGCGTCGCCGTTGTGCACTCAATGCACGCAGCACATAGCTCAGAGTTTTTTCCGCCGATTACCTTCGCGTTCACAAGAAGATACATTCCAACAGAAATTTTCACTGTGTGAAGCGTTTAGATGTTGAATGATTGCGGACGCTGCAAGCTACCAGGATCTGGTAATTTGCAGGATACAGAACAGCAGGTCTGCCAGCACTGCTTTGGGGCGCCTGAAGGTGCTCATATCCTTCTCGACCGGCAAACCTGATGAAACCAACGAGACAATTCTTCAGGAAGAAGAAGAGCGAATATCCTTATCTGCCGGCATACCTCAAGAAACCTACGAGACATTTATTCAGGAAGAAGCACTCAATAACCTGAGTTTTTGTTTCCAAAGTTTTTCCGTTGAAGCTAGCATATTCCATTCGGAAGCGCCTTAGAAAATGTAATAGGGAAAGAAAAGGGGCAGAGATTGAAAAGAAAGTGTTGACAAAAATACGCGCAAGCTGAAGGATCACCTATGTACTTAAATATGAGCGTATTTTTGCCAACACTTTTTTTTTCAATCTCTGACTGTTTTCTGTACCCGTTAGATTTTCTGAGCCGCTTCCGAAGGGAAGATGCTGGCTTCAACGGAGAAACTTTGGAAAGTTGGACATACCTGGTGAGGTCATTGACTGGTTTTCTTCCTGTAGAAATGTCTCGTCGGCTTTGTCCAGTCTGCCGGCCGATGAGGATAGGAGCGCCTTGAGGCGCCCGAAGCAGTGCCGGCAGACCTAGTCTGTATCCTGCAAATTACCAGATTTTTGTAGCATGCAGCGTCAGCAGTAATTCAACATCTAAACGCTTGACACTGTGAAAATTTCCGTTGGAAGGTATCTTCTTGTGAACGCGAAGGTAATCGGCGCAAAAAACTCTGAGCTATCTGCTGCGTGCATTGAGGGCACAAAGGCGAGGCCTGTCGCCTCTCCCGTTGCTTCGTCTGCGCCGCCAGACAAACTAAAGCCCGAAGGTTTCGCAATGCCGTTGCGACCGAGGAGATCACCCGCTGACGACCAACGCCAGTGGCCACGAACAAGGCAGAGTCAAAGTTCACGCGCAGTGAAGCTCTGCATCTGTGCCCTTCCCATGGGCATACACGCAAAAACACACAAACGTCCAGATAATATCACTGACGCGCCGACACCAACTCTGCCACCGCGCATTCAAAAAGTGTCTAGCTGAACTGTCGCAGTAATCCACCTTGATGCGCCCAGAGTTGTGGATTCTCCAAATATTCTTCAAGGGAGGGCGTTGACGAGCCGTCATATTGAGGTCGTTGTTACGTTTTAAACGTAAAGAAAAGAGCGCATGGAACTGTAAGGCTGAAGTCTCTCGAGTTTCGTTTACTAGAACTGTAGAGAATAGAGGCACGACGCCTCGGGCACAAGGTACGGAGCGCTTATGTTACGGTGGAGCCAATGGGGCTGTGTACGTTTGCCCCGCGGCAAACGTGAGCTCAAATATCTTATAGCCCCTTCCCCTGGCAAATAGCGAGCGCTCGGCGGGCGCTCGCCGAGCGGATTCTTGTTTCCCTCGCGAGATGCGAGCAATCTCTCCGTGTGCCGCTTGTAGATCTGGAGCCATTGGGGCGCTCGCCGAGCGGCTCCAACCGCTCCGTGGGAAAGTGGCGGAGCGCGTCGAGCGGTCCGGAGTAGTTCTCCGCGCAGGCTTTTTCGGAGGAGTACGATCTGTAGTCGCAACATTTCAGTTTCGATTTCAACGTTCTGGCGACCGGCGAGGGAGTGAGGGATTTTCGCGGCTTTTTGGTTTCGTTTGCTGGGTAGGCTCTCTTCTTGTGCTCGCTTTCGTTCCTCGATCTCGTCATGACCGACTCCACTGAGAGTACTGCGGCTTTGGCGTCGTTGCAGTTAATTTTAGGTCTATTAGAAAGCAGTGACAGCAGTGACAGCGAAAGCAGCGACAGCGACGAAGACGACGGAGATACAAGCTCCTCCAGCTCGAGTGACGACGAGGCAGCCGTTCTCGGCGAAGTGTTCGCCGAGACGTTCGCCTTGCCAGCGAAGAGGCCCAAGATAACCCGTTATGTCGAAGACGTTGTGCGCGCCTATTCGGATGAAGAGGTATGTCGTTTCTTCGTTGTGTGGTCTCTGTGAACCGACCATCTCCCTGTGTTGCAGTTCCGACGCAACTTTCGCCTCCAACGGGAGCCCGCCTACGCCGTGATCGAGAGGTACGAGCGGTCTGTATATTACAGGGGATCGATTCACGGAGGGTCCAACCCGAAAACCGCCCAAGTTTGCATCCTCTCTTTTCTCTGGTAAGACATGTTTTGTAGGTCTCAATGTAGCTAGGAGAAAGATTGACCGATTTGACCAACGATTTCCGATCCAGCCCATATTCCCCATACATATACTCCTGGCACGGTAGTTGTACTGTAGATATGCCGCGGCGGTCACAAAATAGAAGCACGAAAAAATACAAAAGAAATGGAGACCCACTAAAAGCCGATAACTATATATGTATTAATTGAGCATATTAAATTGACTTTGGTAATTAAAAGTCAAATCATTGCGTCTTTTTATTAATGCGGTTTATTATTATCTTTTTTGCTAACATCAATTACTTCAATATCTAAGGAAAAAACAACTTTGAGACATAGGGACAAAAATTGGAACAACACAATACTCTCAAAACTCAGCCGACTCAGCTGCAAAATGTATTATCACGCGTCTTCTTTCTAGGAGGACACAACTCCCCAAACAACGCTAATGCCAACAACCGTGGGGGGTTAACGGTTAAGGCCCGTTCACACTCTTGCAACCGAGTGCGACCAAGAGAGACCAAACCGGTTTTTAAGCCTCTTGCGATCTCTTAAAACCAGCTCCGCTCAGTGCATCCGGTCCCAAGAAATCTTTCCCGGTCGTACTCGGTTGCAAGAGTGTGAACGCGCCTTTAGTTGGCATTACCGTTGTTTGAGGAGTTGTGACCTATAAAGGAAATGTGTGGAAATAAACGTTGTAGCTGACTTTTTAAACAGTAGAGAAGAAACATCAAAACGTAGAAGAGACAGAAAAAAAGACAGGATGATGTGTCAAATTCCGCTAATTCGTCTATTTAGTCCAGCTCTCAATTTCAAGGTCACCACCAACACAAAGGGACAAAGACTATACAGGTCAAGCGCGTAGTCTACATCACACAATGTAAGAATGTGGACAACCTCACAGGTTGACGCAATAAGGCAACATCCATCCTTGAACTTCAACTTCAACAATAAAATCTTTCTCCGCGCTATTGCGCTTTATAATATCAATATAGTTAAACCAACTAGCCCACCTTAATATTTTAGTATATTGTCTCTGCATCATAACAAATTATAATTAACGTCTGCGATTTGACTCAAAGAAACTCTATTTACGCTGCAGGTATGCTGGTAACAAAACCTGCATTCGAGATGTTGCAGGCCGCTTTGACATGGGGGAAAGCACCCTTTCCCGCATCCTGAATCGTGTGGCTGAGTTCCTGTGCAGCATTGCTCCAGATGAGATCCGCTTTCCTGACGATGTGGCAGCCCTTGCCAAGGATTTTGAGGAGGTTCGTTTTGTGAGCTTCCTTATCTATGTATGCTGCTGCTTCAATATTATTGGGACAATTTCAGGAGCGGGGCAAAAAGAAAGAGATAATATCATACAAACAAATGATTGAACAAAATCAGAACAAGTTCAAAACAAGATAAAATAGACAAGAGCAATGAAAGGCAGTCAGAAATTGCTTGAAATAGGCCATGCATGCAATGATACTAGGTTGGGAACATAATTAGTTTACACAAACTTAATGGCATTAGTGTGACCCAAGTACACTCACATGAAATGCCACTGACGAGGCGCTTCATTTTGGTATAAGTTAATTCAGGGACAAAAGCAAACTATTCATTTCAATCTGTGTTTTGCAGAACTGGATGACATAGTCATGTCGATTTCGGTGTTGTAGGACCGTAAGCACTCGATTTGTGCTTATAGCAATTATTGCCTGGGCAAATATTTGGGTAGTGATTCGTGAAAGTACAATCACTACTTGTACAAGAATAGGCAAACTTCAACCATGTCTGGAGCTCAGTATGCACCTTGTGCTTTGCCAACCCTAAAGCATGGCAATGATAAACATTGATAACATATAATCTGAACCAAATCATATGAGGCCACTTGTTCTGGCAGTAAGCTGGGGGGGGTGATCATTGCCTGTCTAAACGTTTCGTGCGACTGTCTATGAAGAGCAAAGCTAATGCATAAATTATAAGTAATGGATGTCAAGGGGGATGCTTTATGGCAAGTTCAGACCAGAATTAAAGGTTGAAAGTTGGTTAAAAAATCGTTTTACTGGCGACCAATGAAGCATACGACATATGGCTGCATGCAAGGAACTCCCCGAGGTGTTTGTAGATTATGTGTTCTAATAATTTGCATATAAGTGGAGTGTGATTTAAGAAGATGGGTCTGTAGCTTGACAATGCATTTTCTAAATTTATAGAATAGAAGGACTTTCGCAAGTTTCCATGAAGATGAAAAGGGAACTGCAGCAGTTGGTAGCAATTTCTTAAAAATAACCGCAAGGCAGTGTATTTCTGGCGGATGAAAATATTTGCATTGAGTCAGTTTTTTCAGGTTTCTAGAAACTGAAGCAACAGTACAGGTGATTACACACCTTGCATATATTACAGAAAATTACATTGTCAAAAAGACCCTTGACAGGTGTTGTATAACTGGTGTAGTGGTCTGCCTCAAAGTTTGAAATAAAAAGGCCACCTTTCATTTGTTAATTTATTTACTTTGATGGGCAGATTACATATAGCATCTCTCCTTTTAGAACTTGGTGGGAATGAGTACACAGCGCATAGTTTGAGCTCACATACCACATTCTTTTACTAGGTTTCAGGCTTTCCTGGGGTCGTGGGTTGCGTCGACGGCAGCTACATCGGCATCCGGTGCCCTGACAACAAGGTGAAGTCAACATATGTCAATCGACATGACAAGACTTCACTGACGTTGCAGGGCATCTGTGATCACAGACGCCGCTTTGTGGATGTCTTCACGGGCCCACCAAGCAAGATTCACGACTCAAGGATTTATAAATTATCGTTTGTGTCGCGGATCATCCCATTTCTATGCTGCATGGGCAAGTATCACCTTCTTGGCGATGCAGCATACCCGTTGAGGGAGACTTTGGTCACTCCTTTTCGGGATTATGGGACATTGACTAACCAGCAGAAGAGCTTCAACACTAAGTTGAGCTCCACAAGGGTGCTCATTGAGAATGCCTTCGGGCTACTCAAACAGCGCTTCAGGCAACTGATAAACCTGGAGTTCCCGACAGTGCGCCGAATGTCCACGTTTATCATTGCTTGTTGCGTCTTGCACAACTTGTGCATTGATGCTGGGGACACTGAAATCCGTGATGCTGAGGTGGAAGAGCTGAGGCGCCAGGAGTTGCTCAGGGTGGACAGCAGGGGCTCGCCCGAGGAGGACCTGCCGGGCGTCTCTCTCTCGGATGCCGCACTCAGGGTGCTCGGACGCATCAATAGGGACAGGCTGGTCTCATCCCTTTTCCCCACTGGTTGAGCTCCTCGCGCAGGCATCAAGCGCTCAATGGCGCCCTGAGGCAGCTCCTGATAGCCTAACTATGCAAGTGCCAGGCATTGGGGAAAAACATTTACCGTGTTTTTTTCACCGACAAACTAACTCTGTGTTTTTCATCAATGCTCACTCTTCACGCAAATATGGTGCTGCGGTCCGGAAAAGTTGCCAAAGTTTCAGACTTTGCCGTCGCTATTAAAGTTATCAGCAGTTTTCTGAAATTTTCATTGAGAAAAAGGAGTATGGGGGGGGGGGGTCGGTATGAGGCCCACGAATACATGGTAATAAGGGGTGTCGGCTACCTAAAGCAAACTCCATTTTCACATCTAAAATTAGCAAAAAAATGACATAACTTTAACAGATAACAGAAACCTCCGTTTCGACATCGAGCAGAGACCAATCGTTCGGTGACGCAGTTTATTTTTTGCGGTGAAAAGAACACTAAATATTTTTCCTTGGAAACAACTGTACATGGGTAACTTACTCTGTCATGAATGTTACCTTTTAATGTCATTTAAGGCATGAAATTGTGTTGAAACCAAAACATTTTTATTAATTGCTCAATCAACATGTATAATCTTGAGTATATATATAACAAATGATGCTCTGGAGTAGGTAGAAAACTAGGGTATGTACAAAACGTGAATAATCAAGTGTAATGGGCTAGAGAAACATTTAGATAAAATTAATCACTTTGCAGTGTTCATGGTGTCCAGCACTCGCTCCAGCATGCCAAGAAGATTCTGGTGCCGCTCTTGACGCTGTTTTGCACGATCCTGTCTCTTCTTTTCCCGCTCTTCTCTACGCTGATCGCGCTCCACACGTCTTTCTTCGCGTCTTTCCTCCTTGCAGGCACGTGCTTCATCTTTTTTTTTTTTCTGAAATCCTCCATTTTTGAAAAAAAGTGTTCCATATGCCGCATGCGCTCAGGGTTCTGCCGTGGACAGGGTGGCTTTTTTAGGGTGGTACATTCTGCTGATGTTGATGGTCTAGGATTTTCTGTGGAGGAGGCTGGTGCATGTAGAGTCGTTTGTTTGTATACGGCCTGAGAAACGCCCATCATCACTTCCGGCTCCACACTGTCATCGGCTGCCCTGATGAGATTGAACTCTTCTTCAAACTCTATGTGTTGCCGCGTTGCTCCACTTTTTCCATTGCTGTCCACAACCTTGGTTTTTCTTTTCTTGAGGGTTTTGAAACGTGTGTCACATTGCTGTGCAGTGTAGTGGGAGTTCATCCTCTCATTTATCTCTTCAGCAATTTTAATAAACATGTGTTTTCTTGTCTTAAAACGTTTAAATAGTCCAATCTCTGGGAAATATCGAGAGTAGAGGGCAAGAAGAAGCTTGGATTCGCCTTCTGACCAGATGCAAGCTGAAAACAAAAACACAAAATTGTTGAATAACCTAATAAACTGGGCATTCTTTCGATGCAGCTTGAAGGTGCTGGGCTTATACGGCATATTTGTGGGGTTTCTTATGTAGTATGCAATTAAGGAATGTGTTAATGCTCTGCATGAATAGGGTACCTGGCAATGACGGTAAATGAAATAAGCTTGTAAGACCGTGACAGGTCCAAGCGGAAATTGAATACCAACTACGAGAAACTGTCGAGAATGTTTCAAGGGGCATAAATGGGATGCATGATGCCGAATTGCCAAGTAAAAATATCATGCTGACCAGCTTCACTACTGCACTGGCAAAATTGGCCCCATATTGCAAAAGGTCATGGAACATTAACCATGCAGCCAATTTGTCACCACTCTGAGTAAAACTTACATCCTATAGCATTCACTGTTAGCATATACCTTCAGCCACGGAGAACTGACTTATGAAGCTTTGTAATCCAAGTGAAGGGTATACTTTGTATGGGTATATGTATGACTTACGTTGAGTACTGGAGTTCTGTGTGGAGTTCTGTGGCGAACCGTCGGATTCTTCCGGTACAGGCAGAACGCCAGCGTAGCTTCCACCATTGTGGTCATTTCCTGTTGAATCGTAGGGCGCATCATTGATTAATGTGGCATCAAAATAATTGCAAAAGGAAATGAACATTCCTGCAACCATTCACCATACAATTGTTTTTTTTTTCTTTTTTTAAATACTGCAGCTTAGATATGTGAGCCAATTGTCATAGCAGCTATAGGTGTGGCTAGACAGAAACAAAATCGTTTTAGCACCATATGAAACCAAGCACAGCTCCTGACAGATTGAAGTATTCGCATTTACTTGTATAGGAAAAAAAGAATACGGGAAAGCATTATGCTCAAGTCTATTGGAAAACGCACGTAGTTCGTGTTTCCTTAATTTTGACCGCAAGTTAATTACATCAAGACATCCGATGCACGGATGTTCTGTGACTTCATGTCGTAACTTGACGTCATTTGCAGACGAAAAGCATCATGCTCAAGTCTGTACTGGCGAAACCATAGTTCGTGTAGTTTTAACCGCGAGTTAATTACGTCACGACATCCGATACACGGATGTTTCTGTGACTGTCGTAACTCGACGCAGACATAAGCGCCCGTAACATATAACGCAACGTAAGAAAATAGTACTGTGTGAACGTACTTTAAGTGCAAATTCTACATCTGTTAGAACTGTTATATTTAGTTTACCTCCGCTGACCAATTATTTTGCAGTAGTTGATAAGCGAGCGGTCACATCGCAAATCATATACACAATAGTAACTGGAATAATTAGAAGACAACGCGCCAAATACTCCGGTGATGGAGATCGCCTTCGGAGCTGACGATCGCTTTACGGCATGCGTGTTTGGTATTCTGCTTAATTGCATCCTACGGCTCGTACAAGTACTTCTAGTTGTCTTCATCGGGTTTATAAAACTGTAAGGAAAAATAAATTGCCTCTTACCGTCGGGGTCACCGTTGATCACATAACAAACAACCTGGGGTGCTTCCGATCCGGAGTTCATTCTCTCAGCAAGGTGGCAAAGGGAACCGAAACTGTTAAAAAGCGCGGGCAGACGCTCCGAAAGCGGTGGCGCTGGGAGCGTTACGCTCGATTTGCTCCGCAGCGCGTGCCACTGGGGTAGATCACGTGATCGATCGCTCGCGGAGGCCGACCGCTCGACGACCGCTAGGTCGGAGCGCTCGGCATTTGCCAGGGGAAGGGGCTATAACTAGCTCCTGACAGCGACAGAGACCGCGAATCACGTATACCGCGTGGCAAACGTAAATGAACCTCCTCCTTGGCTTCGCCATAACATAAGCGCCCCGTAGCCTTGTACCCGAGGCGTCGTTTTTTTATTCCCTAGTGTTAATAAACGAGACATGCGAGTCCAAACGCGATTAATGAGCGTGAACTTTCTTAACAACCACAAGAAAAAAAATAAAAAAAATCTGGAAATATATTTTTATTACAACAAGCTACAACACATAAATTTCTTATTTGTGGCAAAAAAAAAATTTACTTCTCTTAAAAAAAAAAAGAAAAAAAAAAGAAAAACTTGCCGGGGTAAAGCGACAAACGCCGAAGTCAAGACGCCTCGCAACCGCCACTTTGACCGCTCAGAACTTTCGTACCAAGCAAATGGTGCAACATATTTTTAAACATTCTTTTTGCTTGGCCAAAGGAGAGTTTTAATAAAATGGAGACCGGCTTTTTTTTTATTTTGTTTTTTCAATATAGGTATTTTTTTGAAAATGTTTTTTTTTTTTTTTCAAAATATTTTTATTATGTTTCAATATTTATTGGAAGTTCATATTTTGCAGGCATAATTTCGATGCCCTGGCCTATATTATGTGTAGTTTTCAAAGTCGCTAATGCCACACATATTGAGGTAGAAGGCCTGAATGTTAGTGTATTTGTTGCGCCTGGTCTAAAGTTAGGAATTTTTTATTTATTTTTTTTATCCATAAAGAACATGATATTTGCATGCAGTTGACTTAAACCTAGGTGTACTACATGAAACAGGAAACCTTTTGGGCCTACCACCCTTTGCCTGCCTTCCACAGGACCGCAAAGGTGGCAACTAATGCAGTCCGCGGTGGGAGCAGGGCCGTCGCGCAATCTTGAAACATTTGTTTTTCTCGTAATGAAACCGCGTTTTCGAAAAAAAAAAAAAAAAAAAGTTCAGTTTCGTACGATTCATTTGTGTGTACATCACGTGTAAAAAAAAAAAACAGAAAAGTTAAAAATGTTGGCTGGACCTGCAGGTTCGATCTCTCGTAGAATCACCCTACAATCATAACAGGTCGATACTCATGAGTTCATACTCGTGTTCGAAAAGAAAATCTTCAATTATTTTATGCACATTCTAGTTGTTTATTGCTTTTATTACAAAAAAATTAGTAATTATGGAAGTTTGCTACTCGTTTGCATGAATAAATGTTGCAGATGTCAATGCTACGTGTGGGATATGTGATTGTTATTTTACGTAAACAAGCTAACTGAGTAAGAAAATTCGTCTTGTTTTTTGCTTACGGTTTATAGATTATATTTAAACGAAATGTATACATGTTATGTACGTTCATTAAGCATTGTTTTTGAAAAACTGGTGAAAGTTGATCATACGTAACGTTATCTATACTTCGTAGAATTTCCTCCTGCACTAAGTAAATTTTCTGCAAGTTGTGGAGGGTCGTGTTTCCCCCTGAAAGATGACAGTAATTTATATCCGAATAGAGTAATGTGTTGTGTGCGAGGAGTTTGACTCTAGCAGGTAAAATCCAGCGATGAATTTAAGTTAAGCCTACGATACTCGATAGTTTCGACATGATGACTTAGGGATGTTCTTCCCAGGTCATGCGTTCCCTGAAGAATACGCCAAGCGTGTTGAAGGCGCTGACTTATTTTATTTTTGAATCTAACAAATTAATATCTTCATAAACGCATATTTTTTTCTGTTTTTTGGGCGAAATAGGACGGCTGTAGTTTCACTTCTATTTATTATTAGCACGTTACTTGAAGTCCATGTTTCAAATTTTTTCAACGGTGGCATTTGCTCGGGAGATCAGTTCATAGGGACATTTTCCGGAAAACAACCATGTAGTATTTTGTGAAAAAATAACAAATCTTGCGGCGTTATCAATGTTTAATATATGGTTCGAGCATTGACCAACACGCGGCCCTGATATCACGCAGCTCAGTTGACGTTGTCGTCGGCATTGCGCATTCACGGACGCTTCACGCGAATTCGGTTGAGTTGAAAAGCGTCTTTATTTAATGCCAGACACGGCTGCTCTTGCTTTAAAGCATCCGCAGTGGCAAAAATATAAATAATATTAACACCCACACAGCCGCGCCTGAGAGCGGCCAACGGCCGTTTATATATGGTGCGCTACAAAACGTAGCCAAACGCTCCAAACCGCGACCGTGCGATGAGATTATTGGAGGGAGTTCGCAGTCACCAATGGCCATCGCTGCAAGAGCCCCGCTGCTGCGCCGTCCGCGTAGAAGAAGCTGCAGAGATTCCACAGGAGCCGCACTGTAGGCGGCGGCTTGTCTTGTGAGGTCACCCAGTCCTCAAAGGTGTTAGG